GGGCTCACTATCAATACAAGCAACACTGACTGCTTCTGTCAGCCAACACCGGAGGTGGAATCTAAAACATTGTTTCAAATCAGCATTGATGATGACGTTTTGAAAAGCACCTCCCGTTTCTGCTACATTGGGAGTGTGGTTTCGACTGAGCAGTAGCTACACAGTGAGCTGCGTATCCCCGTCTAGAAGGCAGCTGCGGCATTTGGGCAGCTAGAGTACCAAGTGTGGAACAACCATCAGCTTACCGTTGACACGAAGCTGATGGTGTACAAATCCATGGTGCTGACCGTTCTTCTATACATCCGCGAAACGTGGACGATGTACCGGCGGGGTGTACGATGTTTCGTGCTGTTCCACCACCAGTGTCTGCGACGGATTCTGCACATCGGTTGGTGCGACAGAGTTGCGAACACGGAGGTGTTGCACCGTAGTGGAATGTATGCAGTGAACAGTATAGTTTTGCTGAGACGCCTTAGGTGGCTCGGTCATGTGAGCCGTATGGATTCGACGCGGAACAGCGAAACAGCTATTATATGATCAGCTGAGTGTTGGGAAGCGGCATGTGGGGAAACCGAAGCTTCGTAACCAGTACATGATCAAACTGAGCCACTCACATTCTACACTTGATTGCAGGTTTTGGGAAACGAAGGCGGTTGCTCGGCCTACATCGCGCGAGCTGATCACGAAGGCACTTGCCGAGGCGCAAGAGGAAGCCCTCGTGCATGCAGAGAAGTATCGGTACTTGTGGTAGGGACAGGCGCCGATGGGTTGTACTCCATCGACAGAGTGCGCGTGGTGTTGTGGCACAGGCAGTCGCGAGTGCCTGAGTCATGCAGGCCTAGTAAGACTTCAGCGAAGCCACTCGGGGCCAACACCGAAACGACGACGAGTTCTGCAGAGAACGTAAGCAGAACCAGCGCAGTGTTTGTAGGTACACTGAATTCGATGTACTTATGTTCTATACATATATATATATATATATATATATATATATATATATATATATATATATATATATATATATATATATATATATATATATATATATATATAATGGTTGGCGGCATCCGGTTTCGGATTTGCCTCTCAATGTGGCCAGCCACAGGACGCCTGCGCCTACAGAGTGGCTTGCGCTTCTCCACCCACAGCTCCAACCACACACCCCTTATCCAGTGTAAACCAGAAGGAATAAGACCGGGAGGCATGTGGATGGGAGCCACGTTTCATCAACGGAGCCGGCCCACACTCCTTCACTGGCAAACACAAGTACGCTGTATTTGGGGAAAAGTGCACACAAGGCGGTGGGTGGACCGTAGTCCCCTCCGCACTGAGTGCATACAACCACTCTACTAGTCTAGCACGCCCACAAAGACCATGCACCCCGACCCCTCCAGCAACGACCAACTGTCTCCTGGAGCCAGATGGACGAGGTAGTGGGTAATAGACAGGTAGGCACCTTGTCAACATGCACATCAAGCGCAGCCACACATAGGATGTCAAACAACAGACAATCATTCGAAATGCCGATATCGACTAAAGTAAATGCATATGACGACATAAATACTCGCCAAATGAGCATATGGAAGAAATTGGTTATAAGTGAATCCGCGATAAGTACAAAATGTCCGAAAAATATTTAAAAATTACCACGCGATAAAAGTACGCAAGTTTACCACAATTTGCATGAGCGACGTGTGCAAGTTAGGAGAAGATTATCAAGTACGCAGAACAAACGAAATAAAGTGGGATGAATTTTATTCACATTAAAAAGACCTAGTTTAAGTGCAAGTTGGTTTAGCCCAACTGCGGTGAAGAAGCATCATGAATCCAACATCAACCTCAGCGTATATGCATGCCTCTCGCGTTCTAAGCTTGACTGTAGGTCATGGGAGTCAAAGGAGGTTGATCGACGTGCATGGCGTGATCTGATCACAAAGACAATTGCCTTGTAGGATAAGGCTCTCAAGCATGTGGCCTGTGCGGAAGCGGCAGGCGCCGATGGGTTGTACTCCATCAACATCGAGCTCATGGTGCTGTAACATATGTGTTCACGAGTGCCTGAGTCAGGCAAGCCGACCCATGAGCGAGGCCACTCGGGGCCACCATGGAAATGACGACGAGTTCTGCAGGTAGCGTAGGCAGAACAGGCGCCGCGTCGGTAGGTATGCTGCATTCGATTAACTAACCGCGTGCTTACAGGCAGTCTGTATTTCAGGTGGTGCGTTTGCTGAAGTCTTGAACCTACCGCGGATTTGTTGGCAACCAATTTATTACATGTGCTTACTTGTGGTATTATTTTACCATATCTGTACGCATTATACGAATTATTTTTATTTGATATCGTCGTCTCAAGTGATTGGATGTTGGTTACTATCCTCGGTGTGGCTGCGCTTGAGGTGCATATTGACAATGTGCCTAAATGTCTCATACCCACTGCCTCGTCCAAACTGGTTCCAGGAGATAGTCGTTGCTTGAGGGGGCTGGGTGCACGTCCTTGTGGTCGTGCTAGGCACGAAGAGTGGTTGTATGCACCCAGTGTGGAGCGGACTACGGTCCAGCCACCGCCTTGTGTGTACTTGATTCTCCAAATACAGCGTGCTTGTGTTTGCCAGTGAAGGAGTGTGGGCCGGCTCCGTTGATGACACGTGGTTCCCATCCACATGCCTCCTCTCTTATTCCTTCGGGTTTACACTGGATAAGGGGTGTGTGGCTGGAGCTATGGGTAGTGCAGCGCAAGTCACCCATGATCCCTCTGTAAGCGCAGGCGTCCTGTGGTTGGCCACAGAAAGAGTGCTACAACATTAGGATAAGTAAAATAAAATGACGCTGAAGAAAAACCCAAAAAAGTTTGTAATATTGTAATCATGGCAGTAACGTCCTAACATTTTTTCAATTGGGTGCGATCTATGGCCATTACCGAGAGCATTTCCTGCTATATGTGCTCTTGGTCTTTGCGCAACCAAGCACTGAGTGGGCCGCATCCGACTACTGCCAAATTTAATGTTACCACCTTCGTAAGTTGGGCTTAAGTCATTCGTTGTCCATGTTGCTCTCACTTCCAGCCGACGTTTGAGCGCGCAAAGAGTGGATGATGAGATAAACGCTGAGCTGTCATGCAAAGTATGGTGCTCAAGCACCGTTGCCTGTGTAGTGAAATTATACAGCTCAGCGGTCTGCAGTCTGTTTGATTTTAAAATGCTTCGACGAACGTCATCATTACTAGTGTGATGCTGCCACCATACACTATCAATGTTCCGAAGGCAGCGGTTATCAAAAACCGACATTATCTCGCAGCTATAGAGCAGGAGCGCTCGCACTGTAGCATCATAGATTCGGCATTTCAAAAAGAGGCTTAGGTCGCGTCGACGCCAAAAATAGCGGAGATTAGTATCAGCAACCTGAGCCTTAGAGACACACAAAGTGACTTCATTTGTTAAACCGTTAGCGCTAAGGCAGCTTCTGAGATAAACGAACTTGTCTACCACTCCAAAAAGATGATACGAAGTGGTGAGAGAAAGGTAACTCTTACCCAATCCTGAAGGAAAACCTTACACTTCGATGGAGCGTAGATCATTCCATCTGGGAGACATACATCCAACCTACACAGCACATTTTGGGCTGCCTGTAAGGAAGCTTAAGTTACGGCGATGTCGTCTGCATACCAATCGCGAAGTCGATCTCGCGGAAGCAGCTAAGCGCTGGGTCCGTAGTTTCCCAAAGCGCTCTCCAGGATGTCGTCCATAGCAAAATTGAACCGGAAGAGTGATGCTAGGCAGCGCTGTCTCACGCTACTTGTGATACTAAAAGGGGGCGCAAGTCCGTCGTACACCTGCACTCGACCCAAGAATAGATGGCTTGAAGAATTTTAGCCTACTAATCGGGCACTAACGGCCTCAACGTACGTCTCCAGAGAGCGGCTCAGTCAACTGAGTCAAATGCGGCTCGTAAGTTTAAGAAGATAACCATCGTTGGCCGGTTGGCTTTTTGACGATATCTGAATATCTGGCATATCGTAAAGTAGTGATCAATAATGCTCCGCCTAGAGTGGAATAGAACTTGCTCTTCGCATATGTCCCAATTGAGAGCAAGGCTGAGCCTCCTTAAAAGCATGGCAGTGAGCACTATGAGCGCAAAGCAAATCAAACTACTCATCCGATGACTGTTGCGGTTTGTCCGGACACCGGTTTTGAAGAAAGGAACGATACCCGCTAGGTCGCAATCGGACGGGATTGCTTCAGTGATCCAAATATTTTGAAGGGTTAATTTTGTAAAAGCGATGGTCCTTCACCTCTAAGCACAGCCGTTGGGGATTAGTCTGGGCTAAGAGCTTTGTGGCGCTTCAGAAGGCGAAGCTCATAACTAACCAAAGCTTCAGGAAATGGACAGAGGAGAAGACAAGCCGGTTTGAGTTTGCAATAAGGATGTTGTCCTCGTACATATGCGACAGGAAACAAGAAAGTACTCTCAGTAGTATATCACAGTCAGGTAACTTAGCGAATTGAGTGATGGATCAGGATATAATTCCGAGGCAGCATTCGATCGGGTACTGGTGCTTCTACAACGGATATTCTTGCTAAAAGAGAAATTCCACTTTCTTAGAGATCATTGATGAATGTTACTCAAAGAATAGTTGTCCCTTTCATAATAGATGTGACATTTGCAAATGTTGCGCACAGACCGATTATGCCTGATTATAGCAGCTCAGAGGTTACGGGAACATCGCCGCAATGCTCACCTACTGAAGCAGATCGGTATGGGTATCCTAAACGGCTTCAGGATTACGAGATATAGATAGCTGGCTGAACATCTACGAACCAGAGGGAACCGACCGTTCTGGATCATTGCCTCGATGTTTAGCGATCGAAATGACATTTTAACTGAGACGAGGCCGACAGCCATCAGTGCCAACCCGTCTTTTAACCGCTCTAAAATATACTATTAGCATCAAGTACAGTAGCTTCAATCATATAAATACGCCGACTGTTCTGAATCGAATGCAGGCACAATGTGCCGGCGCTACTCGGCAGTGCCAAGGCCCATCAATGGATGACGCTGAGGAATAACGTGGACGTTCTGACAGACTATTGGCTCACACTGGCATGCAGAGCAACAGAGCAAATCGCATCTCGTTGGGAAAGCGTCAACGTACTGGTGACTACGACTCAGCTGGTCCCGGCGCTTTCAAAATTGCTGATCTACGGACTCGGAAGTTCATTCCCAATTGAAAATGTCTACTCAGCGACGAAAATCGGTAGGTGATAAAGGTCGTTATTATTTTACGTTTAATGTTAATAAAATATGCTCTTTTCATGAAAAATTACACACCACAACGGAAATTATATTATGACAAGACACAGTTTTAGTGGCATCGATCAAGATATATCTTACGGTTACGAACTGTAACAATGCGTATGACAGCGTTGATTTTCGATAACTCCAAACTTTAACATAAAGCACTAATCTTAGCCAAAATACATGTTGAACAGGCCTTTATTTACCACGGGGGCCTGCACCATCGGTACATGACTAGGTATGAGTTTGAATGAATTGACAAACAGCGTATTGACGTCGCAGTGAGTATATGAGAGTTGGGTGCAACCTGTCCAGTTAAAAGCAGAAAGTTCGAATTCGCTAGGTGGGTGAGTATTTGTCAATTCAGAGTACTGATAACGGGTCGCAATGGGACGAAACGTACGTCTAACGCTTTCTTTGATGTGTGAGCAGGAGCTGGTAGCGACGAACTGTACCTAATTTATAGTACATATCCACTTGGCATAGGTAGTCAAAATCAAAAGAGTATGAAGCATAAATTATCTCTCAACCGTGACTAATTGCGAAGGCAGATAAGAAGGTTACCATATTCAGGGTGATCGTTGGAGGAGAGAAACACTTGGCTGGGAAGATTGAGAAACAGATTGGTACCAAAATGTTGGAAATAGAAGTATGAGTTAGCGATATACTGTTGGAATCGGCAAGCTTCCCACAAACCTGCCACGTTGAAACACCCTCTAAGGCGCCCAGTTTATCAGGAATGTGAGTCTCTACTCACGCGGATTAGGAACGCAATAAATCCCAGCATTATGTTATAGAATATACCTACACGTTATCATAAAATGTTGACCAGTGAGTCATTTTCACCAAAAGACCACCTATGGTGGGGGGGAGGTCCAAGATAATCTACGGCTCCTCGCATCGAAGCGGTGTCAGCTAGCAGTCTACTAAGGCCAAATGCCTAAACACAAATTGCCAGAGGATTCGAATGTCAATCTTACAAGACAGCGCTCTGAGGTGACCCAGCTGGACAAAACGATGCAAGCTAAGGCTCATGTCCGGTGAGCACTTGCGAAAGTCGAAGTTGCGTGGTCGCCGAAGACCGCAGAAAGTTGTGGTTACAACAATGAAGCGCAAGACGATACCAAATCACTTGACATAATAGGCATGAACAATCGGGTGGCTGTCCAGATATCATCAGAAATGGCGGAGATCTTTGGCACCGTTGAGTAGCAGTTTTTATGAATAGGTTGGTGGGGGGTGTTCACTGCTAGACTCGATAGTCTGATAAACTCCACAAAAAAAGTTACCTACGAAAGTCATGCACAATATACACTACAAAGAAAGAGGTACCTCTTCATGGTGTCTATAAAAGAACACTAAAGTAAAAGCACGATGAGACTTAAAACCACTCCACCGTTGTGTGTAGTGAGAGAATAATCGAAAGTGTCCTCACTTTAAACACGGTCTTATTGGTCGGAATTATGGAAATTCGCTTCAAGGTGACGCGTTCCAAATTGAAGTTGCACGTCATAGTACAAGCATAGCCAACAATCCAAAACGCAGAATGTGAATTGGAATTCCATAAGTTTTCTAAAAGTGCTGTGACGATTATTAGTGACTGAATCTAGCACACACGAGGGTAAGTCAAAAGTAGCGCCATCTGCTTTAGGAGAGATATAGTGATCAACACAGGAACATGTATCATACATCAAAATGAAGCTGATCCTTGGTGGATCACATCTCTACTTCCCGACATAGTCAACATTTCGCTATAACAATGTTCCACCTTCTAATGAGAGCATGTATCCCTGCCTCGTAAAATTCCAGTGACTTCTTTGGGCCATTTTTCAGTGTAGTTATATCACTTCTTCTTTACTGGAACAATGTTTACTTCTCAAACCCTCTTACACAGGGCCCAATAGATGCTAGTATAACGGCGCTAAATCTGGTGCACATGGACGATGTGGTAATGTTGTCCATCCGAATGATGCAATTGTCTCACTTTTCCAAATTTTGTGTGTGGTTGAGCATTGTCGTTTAGAAGAAGGACCTAATTGATTGGCAAGTTGGGTCTCACTCGTCGGATCCTTTCTCTGAGACTCGTCAGGGTTTCAATGTAGACCTCAGAGTTTATTGTAGCCTCTCTTCGCAAAATATAACCAGAATGACACCTTCAGGATCCCAAAAAACAGTCCCCATGAATTTTCCAGCTGACACTTGCGACGAACTTATTCGGTTGCGGTGACTTAGATCGGCGACATTCCATTGACTGCCTTAAGACTATCATTCTTTGGCCCCATGTAAGATGGGTTGGGAGGCAAACATCGTTCCAGTGAAGAAGTAATGGAAATTGCACTGAAAAAATGACTCAAAGAAGAATCAAAGGAATTTTACAAGGAAGGAATACATGCTCTCATTAGAAGTTAGAACAATGCTATTGAGAGAAACGGTGACGATGCTGAGGTATGGATGTGATCCTTAGAGGACCAACTTCATTTTGACATGTGATACATGTTTTGTTGATAATTACACTTGTCCTAAAGAAGATGGCACTATTTTTTGACTCACGCTCGTAATCACAGTAAAACCAGTATCGTGCTTGCTCATCAGACAGACTTACTACAGAATATGATACCCGTTAAATACCGGGGAAAGGTGAAAATGGAACATACTCCTTCGTGCTCTTTGAAACGATCTAGCGACCATGTGCACATGAGGAGATCAGCAAGTAGATATAAGCGTGAGGGTGCCTGCATGGCTGATATCGTCGTTCAAGTTCAAATAACTCTTAGTTCACCCGGCGAACACGAAAATCAAACTTGCTTTGGGGTGCTTTGCATGAGAAAAGTAGAGGCTTAAATTGTATAAAAGAAATTCATAACGAACAGCATCCTTCGAATAAAGATCCACATCCAGAGAAGCACTGGACGGCTACCGCACCCTTTCGGAATTCATCAGCAGTGAGCATCCCGTCGGCCCGATGAAGACTCGAAACGGTGCAGTAAACCTTTTGTAAGGTGGGGAGTTAGGTCTCCGCGTCAAGACAGATGTCGGTATTAGACATGCCGAATACATGGTTGTGATATAGCACGGTTGACCCGAGCTGAACTGGTATCCGAAAAGCAGACCCACGCTGATTACTAAAAGGTCCATTACAGTATGCCTCGGCTTAGTTATCGCAGCGGAACTATGCACAATTTAAAACATCAGCATTGGAACGACAAAAGTTTGCGCAAACTGCTGCTGGGATGATCCCAGTAGGATGTTTCTGTCAACGAACACGAGAGAGCATCAAGATCTGCTTGACAGATGGAACCTAACTCTGCGCCGAGCACTTTATACACAGCTGGTGAAGTGAGAGAGAATGCGCGTGTTCTGCCAAGCCGTGTGCATGCAAAGAGGTGAATTGAAATTGTGGCACAAAATAGAAACCAGTCATTTTAAATAACACAAGTGCGATCGGAACAAATGCTTTTGATAAAGTTGTTCATGCATGAGGTTGGAACGCGACCTACCTTAGGTATGCTCTCTAAAAGTTGTGGCAGCGAAAATTCTTCCCTGTAACTGATTGACGAGTTAGAGTTCGTTAGCAGCAACTAGAATTAATTGTACCAGGTTTTCGTACGTACGCAAGGTATTAAATGCAGTAGTCCCATCGAAAGTTACACGTTTAACGACGAGACGATATAAGGTGCAAGGAGCGTGTTAGGCAGCCCGACAACGAAAGGTAATCTTATCAGGCGGAAACCTGTCAACTGACTCCCATGAACAGGCAACCTGGAGATAGATTAAGCACATTTTAAAGAAGCCCATTAGATAGTCAAAAGGCAGTGTTAGTGAACATATGTTTTCGATAATTTAGCAGTTGGAGCCCATTTAGGCGTGCGTCGTTTACGAGTACCAAGCCAAGTTGAGCAAAACACTGGGGTAATCAACCGATGACGTGGCGCAAAACAAGAGGAGGCTGACCGAAAAATTTGGTGAAGCTATAGGATTCTGCCTCCCTGGATGAGATTAGTTATATGAGAGGTTAGAGACCACTACGGAACGTTGCGGCTGTGACGCCGATGTTCTCGTTCCATATAGCTTTTTTGTGATTATGCCTAGACGATAGCACTAGTGAGCCTCAAGGATCCTAGTGTAACATCGAGTACGCGGGCGGATAATCCCAAGCTAACCCCAAACGGCGTGATGATAGCGCTAAAAGTGATACAGTAATAAGCTTTATACAACTTAGTATATAGTACAAACTAATGGGATTTTGATCGCGGTCCCAATATTGTTTCAGAGCAATGGAGGGCATTGGACACTTCTGATGGTTAACCCTTTCATCCGGAGATCATAATGCTTCTGCTTCTCCCTTGATGTTGTATGGTTTATAGTTTCTGCCGACTGTCTCAATAGGTGCACGTTATTGCTATTATACCGAAGAGCATGCTGGCGACCGTATCTATCACACTTCAGAGACTGAGTCATAAACCAACTGGACTGAACTCTAATACGGACGCAGTCTACGACGATGCACCAACTGAATGTACATAGGGGTAAACTGGCCGCACAGATATTAGCTTAAGGACCCCAAATAAAACATTGCAGAAAACATCATCCACCTTCAGTGACGCATAAGAATGCATCGCATTACTTCGTGCTTCGAAGAACAAGCAGTGCAACCAACCGAGTCTACTCGAACTAGAAACTATCACAACTGGACTCTAACCGCAAGTACGTATTTCAACTCGTAGCGAATAAGCAAGAAGACGCGTCAGTCTGGCGCACAGTGTACTGAACACTTAACGGTTTACATGTGAGCACGGAACGTTAGGGTGTGTCCTTGAGTGCATGTGTGCGTGCTTATCTACGTGTGTGTGTAGGGCCAATTAGGTTCACGGTCATAGTGAGCGACCATTGGTTGAACACGTAACAGTCCTCTCAGTTTTGGCTGACGTTACAGTCATGGCTGAAAACGTTCGATCGGTT